GAAGAAAAAATAGCCACAATCATTATGTAATTTCTCACCAAGGTAAAGGGAGATGGCGGCCAGGTCCTTCTTCACCATGTCTTCTACCTCCTCTGGGCTGTGTTTGCCGATCCCCTGAACTCTCAGGTCCCGCATGATTTTCCAGCGAAATAGGGGCATTCCCAAGCGCATGTAGAAGGGGGCGCTGGGCATACTTTGCACGACAGCGCGACCTCGGTTAAGCTCATATCGCCAAACTCGAAGTCCCCTGCAAGGCATACTTGGCATTACAACATATAAAAACAGCTCTCTGTAGCCCATACAGTATGGTGTAAAAATATGATTATTAATAGTAACAATATTTTCCCTTCTCACTGCCAGTGGTTAGGTTAGTTGTTGTTTTCTTTCTTTTTTTTTTTTTTACAGCCAGGCTAAGTGCCGAGGAAACGGCCAAAGACCTACCAGCATAAATGTTCTGTCATCATCAGACTAATCGCCCGCGCCGCTGCTTGTTGTTCTGCCGTCAGCCTGCTGGTGAAGTCCTTGCCGTAGTGACGCCCCAGCCTCTCGATGATGATCTGGGAGTCTGCGATCTCCTCTCCATTCCAGGTAACCCAAGGGGATTTGCCCTTAGATCCAACCGGTTCCTCGAAATCTAACTGTAACGACAAACTTATGCTTTCAACTGAAACACCTAAAAAAGACAAACCACTGTCCCCTAAGGTCCAAGGTATTGATCGGCTGTACCCAGGCTTTGTCCTGCTCACCTGGTAGGGGATCTTAGCGAGCCGCAGATAAGTCTCTAGTCTGAGGACGAAAGGTGAAACGTTTGGGGCGAGGCGACCTCTCGGTAAAGCGTGGACGAGTACCACGTCTTTAGGCACGTCTCTCCATCTCCTCCTAACAAAAAAGGCAGGAAAATAGGAAAATTGCAGAAGTGAAGTAGGTGTATTCCTTTTCAATATAATGTACTACTTATCTTCACTAATTACCTCCTGTTTCTTTTAGCGATGTAGCGATAGAGCGAGAAGGCGCCGTAGGTCGCCACAACCGCTGCTACAGCCTCGTACCGACTTCTGCTTTCTGGTCTTCGAAAGCCGTCTGCTACCGAGGTCAGTATGAGGTCAATGGAAGGGAGCTTCATCCTCGCAGTGGTGTTTCTAGAATAGAAAAAGGCGAGTGAAGTGAAGGTTTGCAATTTCCAATCCTTTTATATACTTGTTGTTATGTATTTCTGTCTTTATCAAGCAATGTGCCTACCACAAGCTTCTTTTCAAAGGTGGATGCAAACACCCAGACTAATGTTATTCATGATATTTACGATGACTTACCTTAATGCCTTTCGACAGATACGTTTAATATAGACATGATTCTGAGAAGATAAGGCTTATCTCGTTTTGATTAACCAGCGTTGTCAGAAATCAACGTAAGTTAACGAATCATGAACTTTTTAATACCTTTTCAGTGACTTCAGAAACACGCACACGCAAACAGAGACTCCCCATTATAACATAACTGTACTCTTACCTTTTGATAGATTCACAATGACAGTAAAGGGTCTTCAGTGATAACGTCTTCTTCGCGGAGCCAAGAAATACCTAGTGACTGCAGCCTCCTTAGGCATTCCACCGAACATTCTTATCTTTTGTGATAATTGTATCTTAATGCCGCGAAAAAAAAGTTTATTCAGAGCTGGTAATCATGACATTTTCCTTTCGCTGTGTATAAGAGTCAAATTACATTTGTTAACAAATTGATTATCTTTTTTCTGAAAAGTCGTGCATAAACATTTCATATTCTTCTATAATAATGGTTGATGGTCAGAAGAAATAAATGTGCAGACAATCATATTCTCCTTTATTAATCATATATTTTTAAAGATTTGCTGCATTTCAGTACACATAACTATAATCGTCGTTTTTCATGAATATGCAATTAATTATGCAGCTGTATTTGATCCATCATTCGAGGATTTGATTCATGTTAGAATGGCTGTAAATATAAATCAGTCTATAAAATTTAAACGAACAGTATTTATTAGAATGTCATCTCCAAACAAGTATTTACATCATTAAAATTTTAACCCTGATTATCACAATGCCATCATGTAACAAACATGCCAAGAGATCGGGGGAGAGAGGGAGAAAGGGAGGGAGGGAGGGAGGGAAAGAGAGAGAGAGAGAGAGAGAGAGAGAGAGAGAGAGAGAGAGAGAGAGAGAGAGAGAGAGAGAGAGAGAGAGAGAGAGAGAGAGAGAGAGAATAATAATGTTTACTTTCATAATTATCATCATTATCATTGTCATCATCATCATCGCCATCATCGCGATCGCACCAAACACAGGGAAAAGAGTTCGATGCTCGTGTGACCTCCGTACTTAGCTCGTCTTGGGGCGCTTCAGGCACTGGTCCCAGTCCGGCCAGAGTCTCTCCTTCACCCGTAACACGTATTCTTTCAGGTTCGGGTATTTCACTTGTGAATAAGGATAAAATCATGTTATATATATAATACATAAATACTCTT